GCAAGCACACAAAATGTTATTTGGATTTAATTATTTTAAAGTTAGGTACAATATCTTTAATTTAAAAAATCTTGAGCGAAGAGGAACCCGATAGCGCAAGTGCTTAGCACGTTAAAGTTAAGCTACTTTCGCAGTGATTGGTCATTGGATGGGTGACCAAAAATTTACTATCTCGAGCTCCTCTGTGCATCGGAAGTCACGTTAAGCCGTTAGTCATGGCCTAATCTGGCTATTCCATCCACAGGGAAGCAGTGCCTCAGCAGTGGGTACATTAATAGGCTGATGATGATGATGAAAATCTTGATAGCATTTGCGGAGGCTAAGCGATTTTCGAATCGAGGATGGGAAGTAAACAATTATTTTTCCAATTTCATTGATATTTTTTAATCGGTATTTAAGATAGATATTCAATTCTTATATAATAGAAGTAGAGCAGGGTCGGGCATAGCGAATTTTCCCTCCAAATTATAACACCCGTCTAGAAAGTAGCTTACACCTTACAGTGCCTAAATTAAGACTACCTACCTGTTGGTAAGCAAGGTGGCAGGAAGCCACTGGGCAATGAATTGGATTCAAGCCGACATGGTAAGTACGACTAGAGCAGTACCTTAGTATGAACCAATATCGAAATCGAAAAGTTGAATTTCGATCTCGATACGCATTAAATGTCAAGATTTTTTGTATGGAAATTTGATCGATACAAAACTTTTTGACATTTGTCGCGTTTCGAGATCGAATTTAACTATTCGAATTCGATATTGGTTCCTGCTAAGGGTGATACAGTACACCGTTCTGTTGTAGCAGCTATATTCGCGACTAGAAACCATTTACTCTTAATATTGGAAGGGGTTAATTTCTGTGACTGAGACGAAGCAAATTACCCCAATTTGCTGCACCTCAATCGCAGAAATTCCATCTAATAATGACAATTATAAAAACTTACATTTTTCTTATTTAAAAAAACTAGCACATAACGATTCTAAACGTATCGAACAACTTTAAACTACCACACCGAAAATACAGTGCGACGAAGATAGTGTGACGCGTGTTCGAAATCGGAACTAATTGTAGGAACGTATATACACATAAGCCTTTGTGTAAATAAGCCGTTGACATTTCCAATTTCTGAGTTATTGCAAATTAAAGCGTAAAATTTTGAGTTTTCGTACTTATTAATCCTTATTTCACACAAAATTTCATGAAATATCTTGGTAGCACTGTACCCAGAAAAGATGCAAATGAAATAAAACAACTGACTTTCGCAGCGGCGGAATAAAAAGCATCATAACGCAAGCATACAAAATTGGAAGACGCGGAAAAGAAAAAGAATCACATTAAGAACTTAAACTTAATAAATAGGTCGGACATAATTACTATCTAAAAGAGCACAGCATTGCCACTTTGTTTATGTGAAAGTGCATCAGAGAATATATTTATTATAATAATGTATTCATTTTTGCCATTGCTATATTAAGTATATCAACAGCTGGAGAGTCTAATTCAGCTTCAGTTAAAACATTTTAGACGAACAGAAAAAAATATGGTCACTGTTAATTCAAGCCGTTGTGTTTACGAAATCGATTGGAAACAAGATTTGCTTGTCTTGTGTTGTGCAATATACTTGTCTTTGTCTAGCTATACATCGATAGCGACAACTATATTCCTAGTGTCCGATAAAACAACTGTTGTTAAAGAAGGGCCTAAGTATAAGACACCCAAATATTTCTAGAAATCTGATACAACTTTAATTGAATCAGCTTTCTTAACCAAAGATTCCTTATTATTTTCCAGATGCGCCAAAACTTTTGATTAGGGTAGATTTCACAAAATTTTGGGAAAATGAAAACCATAATTACCTATTAATTAGTTCAGTGGGTTTACAAAAAGGCGTTTGAAAATGAATATTTTTACAATGCGATCGAAAGCTTGATTTTTTTTTGTTTACTAAATACTTTAGGTAAGTCTACATCCACTGAAAGGATGAAAATCGTTTTAGTTTCTCCATATAATAGGCAAATGTTTATCCGTTTGATGTAGTCTTTAGTGATTGTTATAAAACAATTAACTAATGGTAAATTGATCCAACTCAAAGAAATATCTTTAAATAGCTCTCGAAAGGAAATCCTGCGAGCAGATAGATTGAGATAGAGATTCATGATACATGGCGATATCTTTATATTAAAAATATGTGTTTAGCTTTAATAATGTCGTTAGCCGCTTTCAAGTCATCTCTTATGGAATAATAAAATTCACTACTTTATTAGATATGCTTAAAACTTTTATCGACAAGAATACCGAAGCGTCATAAACGATTTTAGGTACGGCTTCTATTATTCATAACTTTACTTTTATTGCAAACATGAGTACATGAAGAAGTTAGAATACCTACATGAAAGAGAATTGAAAAAAGAATTGCGTTTTCTTTCTGTCGAAATCCACTATAAGGTTTTTCGAAATACAAAATTTCTTGGAACAATTTAGGGTCCTTAAAAATAAAAGGCTACGTGTAATATGAAAAAGAAATAAAAAATCTAAATTACGCAATGAGAGCTCGGTAAATTTTTGCGACATTTGTCAAATAACTGTTGAACATTTCTGGTAATGAAATTCACCTCTAGGACGTCGTTGCAAATTCAATTTTTAACGCATTACCCTGTCTCTTTCAGAAATTATTCCCTTTTTCTTTACTGCTTATTTTCCGCATGGCAATATTTCGAGATAGTTAAAAAAGGAACGTAACTCAGTTGCTGGAATTACCGAAAAGTCGTAATCGATTTTATCTGTTATCGATTCAATGATTATTTGGATTGATCAATTTGTCAATTCATTCAGTTTTAACATTTAACTCGATTGTATTCTATGAAAATTATTACTAGAAATATTTTAGTTCTTACACAGAAATATTTTAAAATGTGATTTAAATTAGGCAAAGTTAATAATGAAGAATCTAGATTTGAAATAAACATTATTATTATATTATTACAAAGTAGCCTTTCCTGTTCCTATCCTTCGAAAGCCCAATAGAAATTTGTCTCGTTACTAGTTATAACCAAATGTTGTTCTACAAGAACATATTGTACCAGTATTGTTACCACCCTGTGGATAAAATTAAAATTTTACAATGTTATCGCCTTTTTTGAATGGATTTTTTTCCTTGAATTTCACATAATAAAGAATAGAGTGAAGTACTTTTCTAGTCGAAATATTTTGTTCATATCTGAGGACATTGAGCATTTACTACAATTGTTGAGTTGATCAACAATGGTTGATGAGCATTAAAAGTTATTTATTTTTCGGTAATAATTTTATTAAATATCTTTTAGTAGTTTCATGTTTGGCAACAAATAAGCATTCAATATTGCTTAAACAATTATCATGTCTGTAACTAGAACATTAAATATAGCATTCAAAGGGGCATAATCAACAAAATCATAGAAATCTATTTAAAAGTACTAGAACATTTTTTAAACAATCATTAATCGTGATTAGAGGTCCAAATTAATTAACAGAGATCATTATAACCTACGCGAGGCACTCTGTCATAAATAATTTTATAGATACTTACTATTAGTCAATGTCACATCAATAACAAAGTAAATGTGTCAAATTTTGACTAATGGTTACTTTTCTATTATTTTTTACTTAAGTCAAATTAACTATGTTTTAAAGAACGTGGCATAAACGCTAACTAAGAATTAGAATTACGAATGAATTTCTAAATAACAATGCTATTTGAACACAAACACAAAGAATAGTATATGCAAGTTCGCTGATTTTGGGTGAACCTGTATATTTCATCTGTATCGGTATAACTGGAGCTTGATGATCTATCTCCCTCTTGGATGAATGGTGGGTTACCCGAACCTTTGTCTTTGGATAAACATCACTCAAATCCAAACCAATTAATATAAATTAAAATAATTCGCCACTGCAGTCCTAAAAAGGGAAAAAAGGCACATACACCCTTGAAATGTTTATTTGCTAAAATAATACATCAAAAATACTGTTTTGTTTTGTATATCTTTAAGTTTTATTTATTTTAAACAGAAAACCATAATGATTAAATGTATAATTAGCAGTTCCACTTACCTTTACCACGCAAACGCTCCATGTTTAATAATGTTTAATATTTTGGCCACAAAATGACTGGTTGTTTCTGAATGGTTCCTATCAATCAAACTTGAAACGCGCCAATAGTATATCCTCCAATCAGGTAACACACAAAAGAATTCAGCGCCATTTAACAAAAATCTATTGTCCTTGTTCAAGAATAGTGGGTTACATATTTTCATAAATAGGGCTGGGCTTGGTATCCCAGCTTTTCCTAAGTCCTTGTATAAGTACATTGGGCCGCAGAAGGCCATACCTTTATCATTATGTACTGTTTTTCTTTATAGATATCAGATTGGATCAAATTTTTGATTCTGATTTCCCAAGATATAAAATGAACTTAAAAAAGTTGTTTCTAATGCATACAAGCGTAATAATTGAGTAAATTTACATGAGCTGCTTACTTCCAATTAACGCAGAGCGTGCAGTGTGCTGTTAAAAAATAAAACTTCGTGTAAATCCTACATTTTTTTGTATAACTATGGCATATTGTCTGTTTCAGATAAATAATTAATTGAAATACATTGAAAATGCATAGCAATACAAAAAAAATGTGTGGGTGCCGAAAATCATTACAGCTTCTTGTTAGTTAGTGTAGGTACTTTTATTATAATTTAACTATATTAAAGGTAATGATAGGTAAATTAAAATGAGATGAGTTTTTTTAATTAATAAGTTTAAAAAAACTGGATCTCATTTTAATTTACTCCACTAATAAGTGGATTCGCAAATATATTTTAACCTATTAGAAAGAAATGAAATATCACATTCATAATGCTGTATAAAATATATTAAAGCATTTTACGGCATCTACACAAATTACAAAATATAACATAAACACATGATACATAGATAATCACCAAGTTGTAAGTGAACTCTAAAATATTTACCTGAAAGCCGCGAGCTTCCCGAAACTTGAGCAAAACTTTACAATCAAAGTGTCCACAAAATTCTACACCACACTACAGAAAGTTACTAAAAAAAAAGTTATAACAACTTTTTTTATTAAATCCTTTATAGTCTTTTAAAGTTTTTTTGTTTTGACACTATTCAGGCTAGCGAGTTCGAATTTCAAAAATGGGCCTGATTGAACTTCGGCTAACGGCACTCAACTGGTGGGCTTCCCATTCGGCGCCCTACGTTGTACTGACGCGGGGCGAGCTGCGAGCGTTTCTAATGGTAGGTGGCTCGCGATGCAAGCGTATTCCCAATTTGATTCTAGTCACAAAATTGGAATTTCAAATACGGATTTCGAAATATCGAATTGTTTTTCTGCTATTTTTTTTAAAAGCATACCTACGAGTAGAGTATCCATTTTTGTTAAACATTACTTTGCTATTTACATTTGATTTTAAATTGTTGTCAATGAGGATCATTACTAGGTCAGCAAATCAACTTAAAATCAACAGTATAATGATACAATAGACTTTTTAATTAATATAAATTTTAAATCATCGAAATTGGTTCATTCGTTGTGATTTTATAACTAATTTTATATTCACCGGCGGCCGAAACGTGTGATGTCACAGAGCTCTATCGTGGTTCACTCCATTCGCACTTCAGTAGCGTCTCTAAGCCCTCGAGCCCGAGCGCTAGAGCTCTGTGACGTCAAGCCACCACGCGGCCAGCCAAAAATTCGTTTAGAAATTTGGTCATAACTTCGTCAATATTTGTCGTAGAACAAAAATTTTACCACTGTATTTTATGCAATCTTTTGTTCTATAAATCTGCATTTTCAACTAAAATCGTAACGGATCCTCATTTTATTGATACATTATTATCAATTGCTAGAAGAATGTAAAATAGATTTTTTTTATTTCCAAGAACGTTTGAGAAACACTATTAAGTTTTTCCTAAACGTGCTTTAAAATTTGAGCATTATTTTGAATTTGAGCATTATTTGAAATTTATCTCAAAGAAGGTTCTTTGAGATAAATTGAAATAGCCTGTACTGACCAAAAACATGTGACGTCCGCTATGCAAAAGTTTTTTTTTTAAATCTTGTTTATTTAGAGGCTTTTACCTTATAAAGATATGCCAGCCCCATCATATCCTAACATTATAAATTACAAAATTAATATAACACTACGACGACTCATTGTTGCAAAATATATATATAAGGCTTTTGAATATATATGCAAAAGTTGTATTTCAATCCAAAGCTGTCGTAGTTTAGCCACATGAGTAAAGAGATACGTACAGAGACCAAGCTTCTATAGAGCTGTCAATTTATTTTCCTTTTTTTGGTAGGGTTAACACATGAAGATAAATTAAAAGGAAGTGCGACAAATTTAACTTGCAGGATTTGTTTACCGAGAGTTAGCCGCGCATATACATATAAACGCTATTTTTTTTAATTTGTTAAAATAATTACGGTTCCTTATTTTTTGGTGAGCACCGTTTTACGAGCTGTGTTGGTAAAATAACAATTTTCATCATCAATACCATAACCTAATAACATATTTCTTCCGATGTTAAAGTATATGTACCTATATGGTGCAGTTGTCTATATGTGCAGGTATATTAACCACATGAAAACATATATATTACATAGAAAAAATACTATTTACTTAGTGGATGCTAAATGATAATTAAAAAATATTTTAATCCACTAAGCATTCAACTACTAGATGTTTAAATGTTTTAATCTAAAGAAAATTTAGTATGTTCTTATTCGCTCTAATATTTTTCCATATGCACAATACAGTAAACCATAATTATCTTGTTTTTTAAACACTATTTATTATTTCAAAACGTGCAACGAAAACAAATACGCCGCGAGTGTTCCGCGAGCCCTGCACTTGAGCACTGGCACTGACGTATAACTGCATACGTGACAGGCAGCCAGTGCTCGTTAACACACGCACTTCTTGCTTGTAGTAGAGCAACGTTCGCAGCGCATTTTTAAGAACCTTTGTCTCTGTACGGAAAGTAAGTTTCTTTACTCATATTTTCAGTCAATTACCAACTAAACTCATATCTGCCTTAGAATTTAAAAATGTTACGTTATGTTAATGTTAATTTACTCCTAATCATGGGAACAAGGGAGGTAACTTATAAAAGGTTTTATTTAAAGGAGATATTCCAAATTCGTATGGAGACTGGTATTCGGCCCAGCCCCAGCCCAAAAAAAGTAGTTGAAAGCGACATTTTTTAGAATATCATGGAACAAAAATGATTATAAAAAATTCAGCATTTTAACAAAAAACATCATTTTACACGGGTATGAAAAAATCCTTCTAAAGAAAAATTTAAATAAGTAACACTTCATGATTCTTCAAACTCAAATAAAACCTTTGTTTCCCACAGCTCTAGTTTTCTTTGCCACTCCAGCAATACTTACCTCACCAGCCTGCAAATTCCTTCTTCATGTCCCTTTTAAAGGAATTTAGCACACACAAAACGTAAATTCGTTCATTGGTCACATGCGAATCTGTATTTTGTCGTTGGCGTCTCGCATGTGACTAATGAACTAATCGACGTTTTGTTTGCGCTAAAATTAAATCCAATTTTAAAAAAAATGGTTCTAATCTCCAACCTGGGCTGGTCTCCCAGTTTTCCCTTGTATGAGCCGGTAAAGCATTGCATTTGTGTATTGGAATAGTGGCTACAATAAGTCACAGTGGCAACTTGGCCAGCGCGCGTGGTCCTCTGAAGGAAGGGGATAAGAGAGAATAACTGGTCAGAACACTAGTTCTTCCTTTCATTTAAAATGCTATTTTATTTAAAAAATAATCCTTATGATTAACCCTTTTGATGGATATCATAAAATAAGTGATGTGTTTTTTTTTCAAATTTCACGAGTTTGAATCTCAGTTGTAGCAGGTGATTTAAAAAAACTATGTGTATGCAGTTCTAGTTATTATTAAAAATAAAATGATTTCTTGTTGCAGTAAAATCTTATCTTCAATATTTCATATATTTTCCCTGCGTGTGACAAACCCGTGGGACGCCTTGTATGTAATATCATTGTGTGCAGCCCTTTCTTATGGACTTACGGCCGATCCCAATATTACAGCTTTATCCGTAAACTCTAATCGAATATTGAATTTTGTTTGAATGTTTGGATTTTTACAAACGTTTCAATAATGAAACTTTGGTTTGAATATTTGATCCATCAATGTAAACTATCCTTGGGAGGACAGATTCGCAATTAAAGATTAACTTATGTATGAAAATGGCAGTTTCGGTGTTTCATTCTTTGGTTTCATTATGTAAATTGCTGTTTTTGACAGAAGATTTGTCAAACGTAAACTATCGTTTTTTTGTATCCCTTGTTTTCGACGGATTATCATAAATTTTTTAATAAAATTTAGCACTGGGTTGTAAAAATGTTGCTCGACGATAGCGATAGAGATTTGTAGATATTAGTTTATGAGGGATAGGGCATAGCACAGAAATTTATCTAGCATATTAAAATATTCTGTGTATACATTAGTAAGTGATTATTTATTTATTTAATAACATGACAAGTCCCCATGGTAATGCCCATAGACAAATCACATATGAAGAAACCAATTCTGGCATAATTCTAAACTTCAATAAACATTTGTCAAGAGTGTGTCCTTTTCATAATCTATACAGAATGAAAAGGACGAAGGAAGAGATTGTTGTCCTATTTAGAGAATCATTACAGAATCAGGGCATATGTATGTAGGAATGGATTAAATTGTTGTTTAATTGTTGTCCATGGCGGATTGTGAAATCTCTCTGATATTGAAACGTGGATTACAGATCGGTCCATAGTTCATGAACAATCTAGGATTGGTTTTAATCTAAGATTATAGATTGAATGTTGGAATCGGCTGTTAATAAGTCAAATAAGCCATAACCTACTCAAGTGCCAATGGAAAAGTGCTATGTGCTAACGACTGGGTATGATGTGCAGCCAAGATCAACGATCAAGCACGAAGAACTTCAAGGTAATAATTTTCTTTTCTTTTATTTATTTATTTTTACTATTACACTTTATTGATCAAAATATGAAACATTGGTGCAAAAGGCGGACTTAATGCTAAAAGCATTCTCTCTGAGTCAATCTTTGGGTAAAATGAAAAACACGAACGGCAGTATAAAGCTAAATACGAATATATATACAAATTAACATAGATACATATATAAATACATACTATAAAAAGAATACAATACATACAAACATAGCACACTAATATTTAAATATATACAGTATACATAAAATGACACTTCATCTTAAGTTTTACAACAGATGAGCGTGAACATTCCTTTTAAATATAAGTTTACTAGGAGATCTTCTGAAGGAGTCGGGTAGGTCCATCCACAGTCATATGGCTTGAAGAGTAAAGGAGTTGGACATATAGCCTGAATGAGAAAGATGAATATAGAGAGCTAATGAATCAGCAGAGCGGAGAGGACGATTGTGACTATCACAGAGATACTGAAACTTGCATTTCAAGTACTCTGGAGAGTTTTATGTTATAAGGATGACAAATAAGCTAAGGGCCCGCCTGATGATAAGCGGACACCAAAGCCTTATAAATGCTTGCGATATGATAAATAATACTCGCGCCGTTGCCTACTCTGACTCCATCCCTTAAACCCGCGGAGCCCTGGAACCTATCCTATGACAATCCAAAACGAAAATAATAATAAATTCTTTATTTGTTTTTCTTCACATAAGTAGAAAAAAAAACATTTACAATAAGGTGCTTACTTACAATATTTAATTATTTAATGTGAAGACTGGTGCTTGCAATAGGATAAACCTGTTCCACAAGACACCAGGCCTCCACTCCCAAAACTACATGAACAGAGCAAGCCAACTTTGTACCATATATGTGATAAATGTATTTATTAATAAGAGAAGTTATAACACAATAATAAAAATATAATAAAATAAAAAAGTATTTGTGTGTATGTGTGTGTGTGTGTGTGTGTGTAAATCAGTAATAACGGGGGCGCTGGAGGTTACTTCTTTTGCATTTTGTTAATTAGATATTATTTATAAGTAAGTTACGGTATTTTTTATTAAAATTTTATGCATTACCTAAGTTCTTTTTATTTTATTTCTACATATTGTAATTTCATAATAAATATTGATTGCTGGCCAAAGCTGTAAATAC